AGCTTGACTTCTGCCACAGCACCCTCTCCTGTCGTCAGGTCTGGGTGGGCAGGAGAGACCTTGAGGTCATTGTGAAATTAATTTCCCTTGCAGCAGCAGTTCTGACACCTTCTCTTTAATACAAAGCCTCAGTGAAATCAATTACTGCCACGCTAATGCTTAGGAAATATATTTTAATCAGGAGAGCATGCCATACTCATTACATAATCAAATGGTGATTATTATTGTGTGCCGGTGTTGAGACCTGCTTTGTGCTTCATCATAATAGTGAAGTGCAATGCAAAGCCCACATCACACCTCAGAGAGTAAATTAGAATTAAAATATGATTATACAATTAATTAAGAAGATATATTTGAGGGGGGAAAAGCTGTGAGTCTTTCCAGTGGTCAAAGAAAAACAATTATGCAATAATTTGCTTCCATTAGCCTAGAGCCATTGTGATTAGATACATTTTGGCTGGGGATATTAAATTAAATAGATGTAAGAATAATAAGGCAATCAGTTCAATTAAAAAATAAAACTGAAATGATTCCAAAACAGTTTATAATATGCCTAATTATACATTTCTGATTCACCTCTACGAATTTTTATCTTAAATTTAACAGTGCATATTCTCATTTATTCTTAGAATGTTTCACTGCCTTTTTTCTGCATTGTCAGTGAAGCTGGCACTTCTATAATAGATATGGTTTTGAAGTTTGAGGCAGTGAAATGCTAAATGAAACGGTCATAAATAACTTATGTTTTCTAACCTGAGCCACAAATCACCTTCAAGCAAATTCTTGCTGATGCCAACAGATCAGAACATTCGACTGCTCACAGGTCAGAGACGAAATCAAAAGAACAGTTTTGCTTCGCTCATGCATGTCCTGTTTCATTTTTCAAAACCAAAAATAATGACTGCTGTCTAAATGTCATTCAGGGCAGCAGTAGTATATACTGACAAATAAATAAATAATTAAAACAAATAAATTCAAGTCTGGCAGATATAGGCTTTTTAGAAGAAGAGTAGCTTATTTCAAAGATTACAGAGTAATCTTCAGTGTTGGGCAAGCTACTTAAAAATGTAGTAAGCTAACATAGCTACTCTACTTAAAATGGAGCTTAACTACACTAAAAGCGACCCTCTGGGAAATATAGCAAGCTAATCTAAAAGCTACTTGGCAAAAGGAGCTTAGCTACATCTTTCATCTACATTTCATTTTTAAATCGAAGCAACTTAAATCCAAGTCAATCATATCTTAGCGATCAACAAAACCGTCAATGAAAAATGTGAGGCAGAATTGTTCAGTTATTTACTGCAAATAATATGCTGTACAGAACTAAATGAACAATTTATAGTATATAACATCAAAAAACTAAAAAATCCACACATTTAAAATACTACAGTAATTGATGGTAAAGGGAAATATTTAGAAATATGCATTATATTGTACTGTATATATTTGCAACTTCTCATTAATTAATTACCCTACACAATGTAGTATCATTAGTAACTATCATGACCTAATAGTAATTACCATAGTGTACTTTAGCCTTACTATATAAAGTGTGTGTGTGTATGTATGTATGTGTGTATATATATATATATATATATATATATATATATATATATATATATATATATATGTATATATATAAACAATTTTTTTTATCAATATTTTTTGAGCCCAGCATCCAAATTAAAGTTATTGCATCTTTACATCTTCTCATCTAAAATACTTCTCGGGGTATGATCAGGGGGATCCTGCTTCAGATACTCTCCCTCAGTCATCTTTCCATGATGCAAGGTTCTCGTGTTGGCCTAATTGGTCGGCGTTGTCACTGACCAGAGCAAGAGGTGGCAGTAACGCACCAAAAAGTTTGTTGTCGACCACCATAGAACAGGAAGAAGAAATCATCATTCTCACCATCATATGGACTTACTTTCATGGGCTAGACACCGGCCTCACAGCTCTGTGAATGTCAGTGCCGTCATTTATTGATCCACGATCTGTAAATGTAGCTTCTGTGGACGCGCTACTTGACTAAAGAAAGAGCTTCGCTACTGAAAAGCGACGCTACTGCCCAACCCTGGTAATCCTTTTCTAAGGGTCACGAAACATCAAAAAAACATTTTTAATATGCTGCCAGTCATGCATATGTCCCATGTTGCCAAAAACACTATTAGGACATATATATATATTTAGCTAACAAGTAAAAATTTGTTGTTTTTGCATTGTTGAAAGCAAATTCGTTCCTCCAGTTTGAAAATAAAGTTTAAAGCTACGTCAGGGTAATTAGATCCTTGTGTAAATTCCAATGTCGAGATTTGCTGTATGTACCGGCCGGTACAAAGTGACATAAACGAGTTTTCAGCACATTTGTTCGTTAATTTATGAGAAAGGATTGGTGCAAACCAATCAGCACCCTCTATTGTGAACGAGATGCAACTTCATTAATATGAATGAGCTTCAAAGACTGTTATCTGTTGCAGTGTTCAGATCGATGCCACCTTTTGTAGCCAACCGTAATTCAAACAAGCAGTAGGATAAATGTTCCAAGACATAGGTCGTCAGTTTTGCATTTATAAGTGTGCCCCAGCGATGGTTTGTTTCTGTTTCCCCCTTGATGGGAGCACCGCTGGCGTGTGGACACATATGTGTGGATTACAGTGGTCTGCTGACATGCAAAAAAATGTGTTTGTAAGGAAAATTTTTTACCCAAGAGCTTTTCGAATGTAAATGGTAAAATCTGTATTTGCTACTAGTCTTCTTTTAAAAAAAGATGCAGTTCCAGTTAATGTTGATTGTCCAGTCTCTACAGATTTGGTAAGTGAGTGATCAATGTTCTTTGTTTGTTTATATCAGATGACAAAGTTAGTTAGTATCATCAGCAGTTTTTAGGGTAATACCTTAGTCAAAATGATTTAGCTACTAAATTTATTGTAATATCACCACAACATTATGAACTGAAAATCCTCCACTTTCACACAGCTCTCAGATCCACTGTAAATGCTGCTCTCCGAATTCCTGTCTATCTCCCCTGCTTCTGTGTTTGTGTTGCTGGTGTAAAGAAATCAGCTTTAACGCATGTAATGAAACCCCTCTTTTGCCACTTGACACTCCCACCTAAACAAAGCTGGACTCAACCGCTGTCTCTCTTTGAAATTCTGTAATTTTACCAAATTAGTCTGTATTTTCTTGAGCTTAATTTTTTTTATTAATAACATTTAGTGTGATTACTTATTATTTTATTATTCATTTAATAACTACAAGTGCCAGTAGTATGATTTTTTATTAGATTAGATTAGATTAGATTAGATTAGATTAGATTAGATTAGATTAGATTAGATTAGATTAGATTAGATTCAACTTTATCATCATTACACATTTACAATACAAGGCAACAAAATGCAGTTTAGGTCTAACCAGGAGTGCAATAACACCAAGTGCAGAATATAGCCATAAGTTATAATGTGCAATTATAGAAAAACTATGATGAAATTTACAAATGGATGTACTATGAACATTATTTACAGGTTGTATTAGCTATGAACTGAGATTTACAGTAGATGAAAATATGTAAAGTTTATTATTAATAATCAGAAGTATGCCGATAGATAAACATAATTACAAATGTATATGTACATTGGGTGTGTACATAAATACAAATGCCCATGTGCTGTGGGGATGTCAGTTCAAATAAATGAATCAGTGCAATGTTGTGCAATTAAAATGTGCAATTTTTAATTGTGCAAATGTTAAATAGTGCTGTGATTATGAGGTGTATAAGTTATGAGGAGAGTGGAGGTTTATTAGGAGTGCAAAAGAGTGCAAAAGAGTCAGTGGGGGGCAGAGTTTAAAAGGGAGACAGCTCTGGGGAAAAAGCTGTTCCTTAGTCTGCATATTGGTTTTGGGGTCATTTTACAGAAATGCCAGACTAACTAAACATAAATTAGACTTTGAAAACTCTTCTTTATATTTTAAAATGAAACAATATTTTACTTTAACATTTACACATTTTAGTCTTCAATGCTGAAATAGTCATTGTTTATTGATTAATTGTCTAATTACTTGTGTAAAATTCCAAGCACCACAAAGCTGCTTTTTTATGAAACAGCAATTTCAAAATACAATAATATATGCATAATGGCCAAGTATATGATGTAAATGACAGGAAAACTAAATGCCAAAGAAACATCATAAAATAATGAATGTTGTAGTCACTGGTGTCACCATTTAACAAAAATGTATTCTTTTGAAATCCTTTTGATGACATAACTTGATTATTTTTATTATTTCATGATTTCATATAAACCATTTACGTTGCACCACTTGTGTGATCACATATTGTTAGAGAATTGTTTTAAAAATCAAGAACTTAGATGAATTAAACTGATTTTATTAAGTACACCACCATGATTCTTAACCTGTGGTTACCTTGCAGCAGACATTTACTAAAATGCATTGATAATTTGTCACTTATAATGATTTTCTTCGCTGTTGCCCCCAAGAAAAGCAACATGTTTCACACTGGTGTTACTGTGTTCATTCTACAAAAGCACCAATTTATTAAACTTAAAGGTGCACGTTTTTTGTAACCCTATTACTCAAATTAGTTGGAGGAAATAGTTTACTAGATCAAATTAGTTCAATCATCCTATAGGGTTTTCAGTTTATAGTGAAACCAGTAGTGCCATGAAACAGGTCATCAACAAAGAGCATCAATGAAAACTGGTCGTTTTGTTATTTGAAAATGGATGTACTTAGATTGCAAACTCACATGGTTTAGATTTTAAGCTGCAGCAACCTCCCCAGGTGACAGCAAATTCGATTTTTGAGCATCTGCTTGGCACAGTGTGAAAATTTGCGCTAATTACTTTATAATCTAATCTTTGTGTTTACTAAAATCACATGTTAGAAGGTGCTTGGGTGATCTTTGGATGATTAAATTCTTCAGTATACGCGCTATCTTAGATGGTATTGATGGTGAGGGCATTCTAATCCCTTTAGAAACCCAGCACATCTCATCCCCTTAACTAGCCCTCTGGTTAATGTGAAATTACTGGGTGTACATTGCGAAAAATATGTATGGATAACGACAATGTGACCTATATGATGACAGTCCAGATTGACAGGCGCAAAGCGAAAGCGAGCGCGAATGTTGTCAAGTGACGCGCGAGGGAATTAAAAGAGGTGGAAAGTCTGTGAATGCGCGCGCTGCAGCAGCGAAGGAGACGCGCACGGACAGTCACACTTCACTCTGCAACTGGAGGAGAAAACACCAGCTAAGGATGCGGTCGAAAGCACATACTGGTGAATATCACCCGAAACTTACTTTCTGCAAACTATTTAGTTCATTTAAAAGGTACTTTCTCTGAAAAAAGCATAGATTGGTGCCTTGCAAATCTGACTAACTCTTTGATTGAGACGAATGTCACCTTGCGAACAGGTGTTTGTTAGATGGGGAACTACCGTTTTCTTTCATCACATCTCTGTGCATTCGAACTTGAAGATCGGGTTTTAGAAGCACATGAAGGATGAATGAATTAATCAAGTTTTTTTATGCATTGAGATGTTCAAACAACTAATTTCAAGGTCATTGGATTTCTTCTAACGGATCATCCCATTGCATCAGGTAGGTTATGTCTGGATATTATAATATAATTAAATAATTATTATTACAATAAACTATTGAAATGAGATGTTATTGATGAATGAGAATATTAGCATGTTTTCGACTTGTAATTCACATTCTAAAACTAGATTTTAAGATTTTATGTAGAGATACATGTAGAGATGTTTTAGCAATTCATTTAAAACTAAACCATGGTTTTACTACAGTAAATGCTGTTTAACCATGGCATTTGTTGTAAAACTGTCATTACTATGCCCAAAGTAAATGATAAATGTTGCTGTTCAGTAGACATTCAAGTGGCAGGTGACGTTTTTTTTTTTTTTTTTTTTTTTGCAGAACCATAGCAAAGAGTAAAAAAAAAACACAATGGCAAAACAAAGTACATACGCATGGCTCTGGTGATTAATTTAAGTCTTATAAAGCAAAATATGAGCATGTTCCAGCACAAAAGTCATTATGCAACATGTCATGAGCACATTCAATGTTAAAGTGTAAATACAATAATATAATATTCAGTTTCTTGCACAGACTAAATGCTTTTCTTTGTAAGACCTTAGCATCATCAGAAACCACAAGTATTAATATTGGTTTTGCTTATGTTTATTGACACCGACTTGCATTTAGAACCACAGTTTCTTCTTTAAAATCTCCTTTAGTGTTTTACTGAAGAAAACATCTTGGCTTAAGGGATAGTAAATTAACACATTTTTAATTTGAGGTCAACTATTCAAGATCATTCAAAAAATTAATAATATTCAGTATCAAACTTGCATTTTTATGCAAAAACAAACACTTTGCTATCATGTATTAGTTCATGTTACAATCAGGTTACATAAGATATTGTTAGTTAAGTTAGTCAAACAACAAATGTTATTACATTTATATTTGTTAACATCAGCTACTGAAAATATACTTGACTAATGTTACAAGCATGCATTTTGATTTTAATAATGCATTACTAAATGTTGAGTTATGATTATTAAATGCTGTACAAGTATTGTTTATTACTACTTCATGTTAGTTTATACATGAATCTAACAGAGCTTTATTGTAAAGTATGACCAAAAAAAAAAAAATGTGTATACATATGTTATTATTTGTAATGATACTTACTTATTTTTATATATTTTTTTTTTTTCGTTGTTGTTGTTGTTTTTGTAATTCAACTCTAGCGCTGTAATATAAAGGAGCCTTTCCATTTACTGGAAATCATGAATCGTCTGTGATCCTCACTGTACAGCAGGGTGTCGAGCAAATGCAGCAAACACACGCTTTCGCTCTTCAGTGATGAATGACAGCTCTCCAACATCTGAGAACATCATGTTTCACCAGCTGACTGCAGATACTCTGAATGGCAGTTGTGATTTGCCCACGTGTAACAATAACACAGGTGAAGCGGCATTGCAGCTGCCCACATTTTCCATGGCAGCAAAAGTGAGGGTGATAATTACCTTCACTCTTTGCGCAGTGTCAGCTGTGTGCAACCTCGGCGTGTTGTGGGCTGCCAGCACCAACAACAAGCGCAAGTCCCATGTACGAATTTTAATCATGAACCTCACCGTTGCCGACCTGCTGGTGACTTTCATCGTGATGCCAGTGGATGCAGCTTGGAACATCACAGTTCAGTGGCTGGCGGGAGATCTGGCTTGCAGATTGTTAATGTTTCTGAAGCTCGTGGCTATGTACTCCTGTGCATTTGTGACCGTGGTCATAAGCCTAGACAGACAGTCGGCCATTCTCAACCCTCTGGCCATTAATAAGGCTAAGAAGAAGAACAAAATAATGCTGAGCGTGGCCTGGGCGATGAGTGTTGTTCTCTCCGTCCCTCAGGTGAGGAGCTGTTTGAGTGATTTTTCATGTTTTTTCATTGTATCTTATCTCTGTGTGCTGCATTACTTAAATTCGACAGAACCCCAGAGTCTGCTGTAACACGCGGAATCAAGTAGAGAGATTAAAAATGACTGGATGTTTAGCTGCTTGCCTTTTTGAGTTAAGACTTGAAATATTCATATGTGTTATATATTTAATCTTATTTTAAGCTACAAACCCATTCACTGTAAATTAAATATGCATTACATAGTGTTTAGTTTAGTTTAGTTTTGTTTAGTTTAGTTTAATTTAGTTTAGTTTAGTTTAGTTGTAGCCTGTTATACAATTTTCCAGAGGTGGAAAGAGTACTGAAAATCATACTCAAGTAAAAGTACCATTACTTGCCCAAAGATGTACTGTAAGGAAGGTAAAAGTAGCCTATCTGTTGTAATTATCAATGAAAGTATGCATAAAAAGTAGTTCTTTTAAAAGTACTCTAGATTAGTATTACGCTGTGAAAAGCAGATGTGCTTACATGCAATTTGTGCGTGTGTGTAAACGTAACATTCTGTAGTGCATTTAGTTACTGTTTAAGACTATTTGATGATTTCAGTCATTATACAGTAAACATCTTTACAGTAAACAGTAAAGTGGCATGCAGTCTAAGCCATCTCTGGATCATTATGTGTAAAGATCACATCACATCTGTTTGCTGCATTTATAAAGTGCCCATTTCTTGTCGTAGTTCAGTATGATGCATTTTACTGTCTGTGTGGAATTTGATTGGACTGGAATCACAAGACTTTCTACTTTTTACTTTATCTGATCCCCATGGACAAGAAAAATAAAGTAGTGACTACAGGCTGAAGGAAAGAAGTTGAGTAAAAGTACCAATACAGCACTAAAAATGTCCGGAAGGGAACGTGCATGTACACATTTTTAAAACTACTCAGTAAATTACAATTCCTGAGAAAACTATTTAATTACAGTAATTTGATTATTTGTAATTGTTACTTTTGTTACTTCATCACTGCAATTTTCAGATATTTGTATGCACCCAAAATGAAAATTAGGAAGTGCCACTATGCTCAACAAGGCATTCTAAATGAAATACTGTAAGATGCTGTCTGCCCTCCCTATCCTCATAGAAAAACACACATTAATGTGATTTACTAGAACATAAAATATGTTTAGGGATTGTGTTTGCCAAAGCATTTTGGGCAGCTGAAAATACCAGGACTCTTCCAAAAATGCTCAGTTGTGAGAGCACTTCTGCAGCTTAACTGATTTTTTTATGCAAAAGAGAGACTTAGCACCTCGTCACACTGCATGTTCTAAAAAAAACACAGCACTTTCATTGAAAACTACTAAAAAGTACACTTATTAAGGATACAGTATGAAGATAAAACACAGTGATTCTAGACACAGTAAGGAATTATTTACCATTTATATTAAATGAGCCTGTTACACTTTTCCTCCACGTCAGATCATTTCAGTCAGATCATAATTCTTGGCTTTGCCTGAAACCTCTGTTCATATTTTGAGATGGGGTTTTCCACTGCAGGTGATACTGTCACATCAAGCAGGTCTGTGCTATCCAGAGAAAATATGGAATTCCATAAAAAAAAAAAAAAAAAAAAAAAAAAAATATATATATATATATATATATATATATATATATATATATATATATATATATATATATATATATATATATATATATATACACTCACTGGCCGTTCTATTGGGTACACCTTACTAATGCACAGTGTGGTCTGCGGCTGTTGCCCATCCGCCTCAAGATTTGACATGTGCATTCAGAGATGCTCTTCCGCATACCTCGATTGTATCGAGTGTTGATATCTTTTATCAGCTGGAACCAGTCTGGTCATTCTCCTCTGACCTCTGGCATCAACAAGGCATTTACTCGCACAGAACTGCCACTCATTGGATAGTTCCTCTTTTTCAGGCTATTCTCTGTGTACCCCAGAGATGGCTGTACATGAAAATCCCAGTAGATCAGCAGTTTCTGAAATGCTCAAACCAGCCCATCTGAAATCAACAAACATGTCACATTCAAAGTCACTTAAATCACCTTTCCTCCCCATTCTGATGCTCTGTTTGAACTGCAGCAGATCGTCTTGACCATGTCTGCATGCCTAAATGCATTGAGTTGCTACCATGTAATTGGCTGATTAGAAATTTGTGTTTACGAGCAGTTAAACAGGTGTACCTGATAAAGTTGCCGGTGAGTGTAGTTATTTTCTTAGCACTTGTTAATAGCTACTACAATATTAAACTTCTTTTGGTAAAGGCGGTTTTTGTTTTATATATAATATATCACAGATAAAATGTTTTAAACACTGTATTATACACACAGTACAGTTATAATTAGGGGTGAGAGCTGCATTCATTGACCACATTACTTCCAAAAAATAAATGTAGGTAGAAAATCCGCACTGCATCTATGAAACCATACTGAACAGGGTATTTAAACATGTATCAAGTATCAAGAGTGTCATGTTGAAACCTTATATGAATCTTAAATGTGTGATCATGTATTTACATCCTTTGTCACATGAAAAAGTTCCTGTGTCAATGTTTCATGTGTTTCAAATGTTTAGAACATTTTTTACATGTGAAATTTTCAACATGTCATGTGATGCTCATGCAGTTTTTCTAAGAGGATCTTTTCTGTAAACTTGGTACAAGATAAACTCAAACAAACTATTTGCTGTTTGTTTAAAGAACTATTTTTGAAGTAAGATAAAATGACATAATTCTTGAGTTTTGTGTGACAACTTATTTATTTTATGTTCAATCCAATTAAATGTGTAAAAACTAATAAGTTAATAACTTATTTCCTTCATGTTGTTTCAACACAAATTAATTGTGTGGACCCCAGCATTTTTTACAGTGTATCACATGCAATAAGATGCTCTTTTATATTGCCAAATATTGACAGAGAAAATAGCAAAATTAGAGCAAGACTAAAACCCAAGTGCTTAATCTTAAAAAAAACTAATCAACATACCCCAATATCAGGACTTGTATCTGCTTGCCTTTTTACATAGCTCATACTCTTCTTAACAAAACAGTCTTCTTAACAAAATACAAAGCCTCCTACAGCGGTTTATTAAAAAATTCAGAACAAAATGAGTCTTTTGTTGCCGTAGTATTACTTTTGGTCAAAAATAGCCAATACCAAATGCACAAGACACTAGAAGTTTGCTATAATTACAGTAGTGTCAATCATCCCAGTTACATGAGTGAAACTTGTTTTATACACAGACACAGAATGTTAATCTAGGGAATTCACTCTCCAATATAAAAACAACTTGTACATTTTCAGTACTGTGTTATTTTGTTTTCCACAGAGGAGAAAAGAGCCATACAAGTTTGGAATGAATAAATAATGAATTTACTGTATTTTGTTTATATATTCACACAAGTATCTGGTATTCTCCCATCCCAAACTGTCTCACATATATATTACCAACCGCATGCACTTTAAATCAGACTTATTTCCTGTTCTCCCTAGACCTAATGTAAAATTACAATCAAAGCCTGAAAGTGTTGTAAAATTCATGTGAGATTAGCTGAGCAATTACAGAACACTCTCTCATCAGCCCTTTAATTTTACCTCGGATTTAACATAATGAGGGGCGCTTACTGAGACGCATTACTTGACATTACTAACGCACACACACAAAAGATTAATTATGCAGTCTGCAAGTCAATCAGATGTCTTTGCATTGTACATATATTTTCTTGAAGGAGTACAAATTACCTTCCAACTTAAACTGAATAAACGATTATAAAGACGAAAGCAGCATGAATTACTGAAACGAGTGTTAAAATGGAGTGATTCTCAATCAGAGCAGGCGTGCACATGTTAAAACACTCTGTGGTTGAAGTAATAAATGCCAAGACCTCTTTATTTGCTCCTCCTGATGAAGTAGAGCGTTTAAAATCAGTGTGCTTTTAGAGGAAGCTGATGATGGGTCAGCCGGTTAAAAGAACTAGCGTGGATTATAAGCATGAAATCTCAATGAAACATTTCTATGACAGCAGATTGTATTTGAATGAGTCCATTCAACACCGGTATAGAGGATATAAGGTCACAATATCGGCTATAGTGGATGTATTGTTGTCATGTTTTTATCTGCTATGTATGTGAATCATTTTGGAGGCATAAAAAGACAGAAGGTTGCTTGTGTCAATCTTCATTTGTCATTTGAGAAGCCCTTGTCACAGAATATGTAGTCAGGCATCCCAGTATTTATAAAACATTGGCTGAATCCTGTCCATTCTTTTCTGAAGGCAATATATGCCACATCTAGTTTGCATAGTTGAAAGAGTTGACTTCATTAATTGGCTGTAGATGTGAATAACATTTAGCATTAAAGAGAGATTGGAGCAGAAAAGGCTAATTCTAATTGTAAGAGAATCTATTTCGAGCTTCTCCATATTACTAATTAGTTTGTCCTTCAGGCGTTTGTTTACATCATGCATTTTGAAGGTTTAGAACAAGCAAATTACTTGGGTTTGTAACCTGCTGACTTTTAATTCCCCAACAGATGTTCCTGTTTCACAATGTGACCATCACGGTGCCAGCCAATTTCACTCAGTGTACCACTCGAGGAAGCTTCGTCAAACACTGGCAGGAAACCATCTACAATATGTTCACATTCATATGCCTCTTTCTGATTCCTCTGGCCATCATGATCTGCTGCTACACAAGGATTCTAGTGGAAATCTCTCGAAGGATGACCAAAGGAAACAGTAGGTGGCTTTGCATTCAAAAGAAGACTAATGTTACATTACAAGTTGAGATAATCAGCCTGTTGCATTCAAATGCTTTGTTTTTAAAAAGGATAACATGTAGAATCTCAGTTGTTAATAACTATATAAACATTCGCTCTGCTAAATAGCTTGATGATTAACGAAAATTAAAAAACAAAAATTAAATTATTTTACTGCACTCATTATGATAGATCTATAAATATAAAAATATTTGGCTGTTTTTCTTTTCTCAGAATGGCTTAACTTGTGCTGTAAAAAAGGGGGGATTTTTTAAGGTACTTTATGATATGTTGCCATATGGCAGCAACATCCAATAGTGAATCTAATTAAAAATTAATCATTTTGTTTGAAATGTTGTTTCAAATGTTGATTCAAATTTATTTTTGCTGAATATTACTGAAAACAAGCAAAATATTGTATCATTATGTATACAACACAGTAGGTATAAATATTTCCTCCAGTAAATATTATAACCAATACATAACATGTCTAATATATCCAGATGCATCAGAATAATGTAGCTACTAGCTAACAATGTTTATATACTGTATTATACTATATACTATACTACACCTGTCTTATCTGCCTCTGAGCTAACTTACTTAAACTGTCTCCATCACTGCTCTTATCAAATGTACAATCTGCAGCATTCTCAGGGTCATTAAATACCATCTTATCCTCACTTTCATCTGCAGGAAGAGTCAGTTCTGTCCTTTTCTTTTTTCACTTAACATAGAACATGGTGGTGCCCGCTAATACACTGTTCCCTGTATTGATATCTAAACAAAAGTATTGCCATTAAAACTAGATTTTCTCCATTAACAAATGCTATTAACTTATGATTAATCTACATTAAATTACTAGCATTCATGTTGTTATTGTTACTACTTAAAAGATCACAGCTGACCTATTGCAATATTGCACATTCCACCATTGCACAGTGTTGCCAATTGGCAACACATACATTTGATCGATTTACAAGAAACTAATTTGATAAAAAACTTTTTTGTTGTGAACATGTCGTCATAACTTACTGGAGGTGATGTCTCTGATTTTTCTTGCGAGTCTTACATGAGTTGATCCTTTGTTTTTATTGACGTTTACATTTGCATTTAGCAACTACTCACAATAAACGCCAGTCTGTCAGAAAACGTGCCACAGAAAAACACTGCATGTTATGTGACTTAACCAAAGCACTTCATTGGCTTAACTAAGGTCTTCTCAATAGAACATTGGTCTTAAAGAAACAGTGGCAGGGAAATAAAAATAAATATCATGTTGCCATATGGCAACACCGTGTGGTTAGGGCTAAACATTAATACCTAAACAAAGGGATTTACTGTAGCTGTTGGGAAAAAAATAACAAAGAATAACATTAGCAGTCGTCCTTTACACCATGCTTAAATTTATGAAACTTAAATATTAAAATTACTTTGTAGTAAGTTTTCCTAGTAACAAATATTAATTTGCCGACCATTCATATCTGGTTTTTAACTTGGAAACTCATGTTTATGGTAATTTACATGATGATGCTTATCACCCTGAGAATGGATGAGTTTAAAAGTTTAAGCTGGGTGTCTTTAAATGACCCAGCTTTCAGCAACAACAAAAAACTGGGTAGTTTAGGTACATTTACACAACAGCTTTACACAAACATATTTGGAAAACTTTCTAAAAACACTGTATTATGTGTGCCAGGCTAGTAAGTGACAATGTAGTCAGTCATTGTTGTACAGCTTATAAAATACATATAAATTAGGTCCATAAATTTTGGGACGTAGACACAATTCTAACATTTTGGCTCTATACACCAATACAATGTATTTAATAAACTGCAGACTGTCAGCTTTAATTTGAGGGTATTTACATGCAAATCAGGTGAACGGTGTAGGAATTACAACAGTTTGTATATGTGCCTCCCTACTACTTGTTAAGGGTCCAAAACCATTGGGGCAATCGGCTTCTAAGATGTTCTATGGCCAGGTGTGTGTTATACCCTAATTATCCAAGTGACAATGAGCAGATAAAAGGTCCAGAGTTCATTTCAGTTGTGGAATGGTGGTATTTGCATTTGGAATCAGTTACTGTCAACTCTCAAGATGAGATCCAGAGCTGTCACTATCAGTCAAGCAAGCCATCATTAGGCTGAAAACACAAAACAAACATATTAGAAAGATAGCAAAAGCATGGCCAAAAAAAATAACTGTTTAGAAAATTCTTAAAAAGAAACCACCAGTGAGCTCAGCAACACCAAAGGACCCGGAAGACTACAAAAACAACTGTGGTGGATGACCAAAGAATTTTTTCTCTGATGAAGAAAACCTTTACAACAGTTGGCCAGATTAAGAACACTCTTCAGGAGGTACAGTAGGTGTACAGTATGCAAGTCAAAGTCAACTATCAAGAGAAGACTATACCAGAGTGAATACAGAGAATACCAAAAGATGTAAACCATTGGTTAGCCTCAAAAACAGAAAGGCCAGATTAGAGTTCTAAAAATCATTCAGTGCTGGAACAACATCCTATCTACAGATGAGATCAAGATCAACTTGAACCAGAGTGATGGGACAGGAAGAATATGGAGATGGAAAGGAATTGCTTATGATCATAAGCAGTGAAGCATGATGGTAAACATGGTAATGGGCATGTATGCCTGTCGATGGAACTGGTTTACTTGTATTTATTGATGATGTTAATGCTGACAAAAGCAGCAGGATGAATTCTATAGTGTTTCTGGCAAAATTTTCTGCTCATATTTAATCAAATGCTTCAGAATTCATTGGATTATTGGACTGTGCTTCACAGTGCAAATGGAGAATGACCCAAAGCATACTGCAAAAGCAACCAAAGAGTTTTTGAAGGGAAAGAAGTGAAATGTTAAGCAATGACCAAGTCAATCCCCTGACCTGAATCTGATTGTGCATGCATTTCACTTTCTGAAGACAAAACTTAAGGGAAACAAGCAAGAACTGAAGACAGTTGCTGTAGAGGCCTGGCAGAGCACCACCAAGAATAAAACCCAGTGTCTGCTGATGTCTATGCGTTCTAGACTTCAGACTGTAATTGACTACAAAGCATCTGCAAGTATTAAATTGGTAAAGTTTGATTTATGATTATATTTCGGTTCCATTACTTTTGGACTCTTAAAAAGTGGGAGGCACATATGCAAACTATTTTAATTCTTACACCGTTTACCTGATTTGGTTGTAAATACCCTCCAATTAAAGCTGACAGTCTGCAGTTAAAGCACAAATCTTTTCATTTAAAATCCATTGTGTTGGTGTATAGAGCTAAACATGTTAGAATTGTGTCCATGTCCCAATATTTATATACAGGTTTTTGCATGTAAATACTCAGGGGTGCAGATAACTGGAAGGCAGGTGCGCTTTTGCGTTTGGCATTTCAAAATCTTGTTACAAAATCAGGATTTTCCTCTTGCGTTATTGGTAAGATAATTATTATAAACATTGTCACAATGTGTGTTGGTAGCGGTGTAAAATAATTAGCTTGTTTTCATTATACACTAAAGTTAATTGTTTTGCAAGTAGCGGTCCCCTGTAGGCTTTGGATTTAGTTAACATTCCATCAGATTGAATTCATTTGGATGTGATTCAAAAGGCACAATATATAATGCATAGGCTCTGTGCACATCGAGTTAAGCAAAAAACGAATCTCAACACTTTCATTTGAACGTTTGAATTACATTCTCGTTAAATAGAAGACACAATAAAGACACATGAGCTACTCAGGGTTAGCATGCAAAAAATTAAAACAAATTTTTACACCCAAAGTTCAAACTTGATTGATATTGTCTTGTTGTCCACCATTGTTGTTTGGTTGGTGAATACTTGCTCATGACTATAGATGTGGGATGATTTTTTTATACAGAATCATACATGTGAAGTTCATAATGAGACATAAATACATCATATTTTTCAAAACCCTGCACTTAGGCCCTCAAAACACTGTATTATACCTGCAAAAACGGCATTGTTCACTTCAAATTCATTAAATTCTCTTTGCATTTACAGTCTCTTCAAAGGAAGTCCACTTACGCCGTTCGCACAGCAACATCCCCAAGGCCCGTATGAGGACTTTAAAAATGAGCATAGTTATCGTGACCTCCTTTATAGTTTGCTGGACTCCGTACTACCTGCTGGGTCTCTGGTACTGGTTCCTTCCAGAGGATTTAGAAGAGACCGTTTCTCACTCTCTGACTCACATGCTGTTTATTTTTGGACTGTTTAATGCAATCCTGGATCCCATCACTTACGGCCTCTTCACCATCCACTTTCGCAAAGGACTGAAGCGCTACTGTCGCAGCGCGGTCGTGCTCACCGAGTCAGAGAATAACTCCATCATCACGGGCTCATTGAAATGCTCACCATCCCCATTTCGCATGAAAAGAGTGACCCAGTCGGGCACAGGAACTGACCCAAAGCAGAACACAAGCACGGTGGGTGAGGAAGATAAGAAGGCAGCTGACGGTAAAACTAAAGAATAGTGGGGAAAGAAAGCATTCCAACATAGACAGCATCAGTTGATTAGAGATACGGATGTGACATGGCAGGTCTTGCACCAGCTGTCTAGATGCTTACAAGTACAATGAGACAAGAACACAAACCTGCCTGTTTGTCTGAACATCGTGAGAAAGATTGAGCCAGAGTGAGTCGATGTGTTGATTCGTTCACTAATGAGCTGCCTAAATTACTGAGTTATATTAAACACCCATCTATTTTCCTCATTCAGGTGATTAGTTTTTGCAATCATTCGCTCTTTGCTAACTATGTCAGTCTTGTGTGTGTTTTTTTTTTCCCCTGTCGAAATTAATTGGATGGTTGCGACTCATGGCTTTTGTGGAAAAAGTGATTTACATCAAGAGTTTTTACTTCTTTTATCAGTTCAACATCTACACCTGCAATCAAAGGGCAATGCTTTTGAATTGTTCGTTTGTTGGAGATGAGTTTCATTTGCAAACAAATCAGATGTGTGGATTTTGCATTCTGAGATATTTACAATGCAATTGAACATGCATCATTTCTTGAATAATTCACTGGTGTTAATTGGAAATGTTCAGGAGTACCTTTTCAGGAATCTTAAAGCACCCTCTTGAGGTAGTTTCATTTTGATGTTTTTTATTGGAAGGATTCGGAAATATTAGTCTAACTCGAGAGGTCTTGCATTTCAAGGCTGTGCTGTTGGTATTAATAATATTATTATCAGGCAGCTTGGTCTAATAAAAATCTAATTTATTCATTTATGGTGTTTTGAACATACATTTCTGTATGTTCAATATAACCTAACATTTCTGTATTAACCGCATCTAAATGTAAATTGTTTATAAATGTAATTATTTTTGAGCCTGCTCCTGCCATAAAACTAATCATGCTGCAATATAGAAACTGATATGCATATAAAGCTAAAAAAATAAGGTCCAAATTAAAGTTAATAAGGTCAATAATGTCAATATTATTAGCTCCTTTAAGAAAAATAATTTTGATTGGCTGTTGTCCAATGACTTGCCTAATGGGGTATTGCACACAGACTTTTCATTTCAGTCAGCCAGCCTTAGCGCTTCCAGTTAATTGTCATCCCATACAAAATCGCTGCGTTCAAGATCAGATTTTTAAAAAAAATCTGTAATCTTTACTGCCTGGCTGAGATACAATATAAATTGGGTATCAGAGGGAAAAAAAGCACTTCATTAATTTATGTTTTCTCGTGCCATGTCTTTAAAATATGGAAATTAATTTTAGCCAGTATTTTCAAAGGAATTTCTGCGCTAGTCTGCTGCTAATTACAGCGCCTGAGTTTTAATGGACTTTGTCTCTTTTTACAAATTACAACCAAATGGATACTGAAGTCTGATTAACTGAATATATTTGGATTTCATTACAACATCGATGCTGTATGAAATTGATAATAGTCACGTTAAGCTTTCACCGGAAGTTTATAATTTGCTGAAAAATAATGGCTGAGCATATAGCCCATTAACTTGGCTCGTTAAGCTACTTAACCTAGTTAAGCCTTTAAATTGCACTTTAAACAGAATACTAGTATCTTGCAAAATAACCAGGAACGTGCTATATATTGTCATTATGGCAAAGACAAAAAATAATTGAAAATATTTTGTTTAAAGATGTGTTTAAAAATCTCTGTAAAACAGCATTTGGGAAATATTTTAAAAACAATTAAAAAACAGGAGGATGATTATTTTTTTACATTTGAAACAATAATAATAATGATAAATTAATTATGATAAATTATAATAAAATATCATTTCTTTTTTTGAGCAGTTTCATAATTTGATGTTTCTTGAACTGTTATTTTACAGTGTAATAATTTGTCGCAATATTACACAATGTTTAGCTGTATTTTGATCAAATAAATAAGAACCAAACTTTTCAACAGTAGGCATATTTTTTTGAAATAAAAAATTATTAAATCCAAAAACATATTTATAATTTTACAACTGTTTAATTTTTTATGCTGCCAACAATTCAGTGTCAAAAAACAAATACTGTTTGTTATGCTTCAGAACGCAGATATAACCTTATAATTCCAAGGTGACTATATATATATATATATATATATTTATACTTCAAAAAGCATAGCTATTTACGGTTTAGCTTTAAAATGATATCTAATTGATGCCCGTATAGGTCATGAATGTGTTTATGTCATTCTTCTCAGGGAAGGTGCTTCTTTTGTCACAGGGTATTGAAGTCCAACTGGAGACTGACAAACTGTAAAGCTCTCGTCCATTTTTAATGTCAGGTATATGCTGTCCTTTCTGTTGATGTTATGTGTTCTGACAGCGCTCGAAACATGCGTGTAATCAAAATGTTTGAAAGTGTATTTCTGAGTGAGTTCTAGCTATGCTTGTTGTGTTTGCCTTGTCACTACAGGATGTATTTAGGCCTTAATGACCCAGATTTTCAACCTCAGTTAAGGTTTCAGCCCTGCGAGAAAGTGTACTGAGGAGGAAAATGAAAAGAGACTGAGCCTTTACTGTGAATCTGTCATGAGTGAAGGGGAATACATCTATACACTGGCATACGTATATAGTATCTGCACTTTCATGTTTTGATGGAGTCTGTTGAGATGGAAACATTAGATATGCTTTATAGGGATAGTTCACCCATGAAATGAAAGTTCAGTCATTATTTACTCACCCTGGTGTTGTTCTAATGGTGTCTGAGTGACTTTGGTTTTCAGAAAAACAAAAGGGGAATGTTTTAAAATTGAATAATTTTTTTATGTTGCGGTTGTTTATCTGCAACATCACAGATATAGACCCTTAAGACATTTTTGAAATCAATTACTCCTTTTAACATGGAAGTGTGTAGTTACAACAACTTATCTGTTTCAACTTTTTTTTTTTTTTTCATAAAAGCTGTTTCAAATCCATTTATTGTAATGTGTGTAAAAAGACATTTTTTTGATTTAATTTACATTTTAAATTTTTATTTAATTTGTGTTATAAAAGGTCATATTTTGGTTTTGGGGATCTCCAACAACAGGCTGATAGGGGTAAAAAAATGCTTTCATTTTCTTATAATATTCATTTATTTTTACCTAATTATCCCAACAACTCCTATTTGATTTGTTCAGTGATTCATTTGTTCCTAAATCCCTCCTTTGCGTGATGCTAATCTGCACTGATTGGTCCGATGAGCCAGTCTGTTAAGATTGTTCGAGACGCGGGACGCGGGACGCGGCACCCACCACGGCTTATCGATATTGTTGAAATAGTGCAGAGTGTATGTGTGAGCCCAATGCAGGAGTGCATTAAAGAAATGCTGTTTACCACCAGCATATTGCTCTATTCTTAACCACGACACACATTCAGTATTAATCCACACATTGGCAAAAGCTGAACTATTTTGAAACCTTACAGCCGCACATGTGTATGAACAGCTAAGTTACAAAACACAATTAAATACATATTTTGCAAGCTAGAGAAAACAAGGCAAGCTTATTCATCGTACGCACTCACACTTGTGAAATGGAGGAAGAAACTCATCCACTAACTTAATAATAAAGTTCCTGTCAAGCTCTGACCAAGTCCCATACATCAATAATCTTTTTTGATCTTTATTTTAAAAAACAGCCAACGATTCCCTCATTGCAGGGTAGATTATTGCATAAATCGCCAGAATGTGCGCTCATTTTCAGTCATCATCAGTTCCATACACACCCGCACTATGCTAGTGTTTGAAGGGTAAGGCTCGTTCACGTTTTACCAGATCCGGCAGTTTATATTTAGTATTGTTTTGTGTCGATGTAGATACGAACAGGCAAAAGATCCGGACGAACGACGAATCATTTAAATCTTTTTTAAAAATACTTTATTTAAATCTTTTATTAAAAAATCTATATTTTTAAACAAGGTGTACTTTCTGATTGAACCCTCAGATGGATGTTTTCATTCACTTATATATGTGTTGCACACTGCATAGAAGGTCATTTTCAAAAGCCCATATTAGGGGCTCTTTGCAGTGTAACAAAGATGAAATAAAACATTGGTAGAACGTTTTCATGTAAATTTTGTTGTATATTCTGTTGTATATTGTATAAGTGTGCCACTCCCAAAACGTAATTTATTATTCAACAAAAATACTGGTTATACGGATTAGTGTCATAGTTTTAATAAAGCAATATAAATAACAGCACAAAATGAAGCAAGACCTATAAATTCGACAAGTGATACTACAAAATTGTTTGTGAACATCACTGGACCTGAACTTTAACCTGAACCTGACGTTCTCATGACAATTTGTAGCTATTTATGCCAGCTTGAATAGCTGCCAGCTTGCAATTTGTAAGAATTGACAGATCCTACATTTTTGTACAAATTAGCTTATGCCCCTAAATCATACATAGTGTATTAGACAATCATAAAAATTAGGTCAGTTTGACAAAAACGAATTGACTTACATTGTTCTGTGAGATAGTGTTAAATGAACATGATTGCTTGTTGTTTGAACAAATACAACAGGTATATTCAGATATTTAAAATAAGGCTTAGTGATATAGCTGAAAATTAATTATGATACAATCATTGATTCATTCAGAACTTGGAGTGACTGAAAAATGTAAATATAAATGTGCTATATGTTTTAATATTTATAAATGTATTTTTTAATTATCTTATATTATAATTATATTAAATTACGTTCACATTAAATTATGTTTATTATTATAATTATTATTATTATTATTTTATAGATATTCTAAGAATTATAGATTATTTTATTAAGATTTAACTGGACAAAATCTTTTATGCTTAATTTAAACAACAACAAAAATAAATTTGTCCAAAAATATTAAATAAATCAGTATTAATTCTAATTTTCACATACATGTAATTTATGTTTACAGCATACATTTTATGTTTTAAAATATATAAAATTGGAATTTAAGCATAGTGTATGTTTTAAGAAATGTTTTGCAAGATAAAATGTCAGAGAAGAGAGTATATGTATTAATCATTGTTTTTCATTAAATGCGTTTCTGAGTTGGAGTGAATCACAGTGCTAATGAATTTCTCAAGTAATTTTATTAATAATTACATTTACCTGGGCTTCTGCAGGTTTCTCCAAATCAAATTGAAGACTTTTTAAGACTCTTTTAAGACCATTATAAGTAACATTTTAGACTTATTCAGGGCTAAACCCTAAGGATTTTTTTTTTTTCTAATGGCCCTGTTAATTCTGTAGGTAGTTTTTTTATTTATGGA